GAGCTGTTCTGCACATGTGTCCTGGAACTCTGTGATTGACAGGACACACTCACTTGCCCAGCCAGTTTGCTATGCCCTAATCACTTGCTTCAGAACCATTATGCTTTGATAGTCTGGAAAAGAGGACAAGAATATGAGCAAGTCATGGACATTTAAGCTCCATTTTATAACCATGTTATACAAGCAGAGGTCAGAAATTAAAAGAATATTGTTTGCTAGGTATGGTGGTACATGCCTGTGATCCCAGGACTTGGGAGACTGAGGTAGGAAGATGGGTTCAAGTTTGAGGCCAGCCTGGGTTACATAATTTGAAGACTTGTCTTTTTTATTCTTTAGCTTACATTTAAAGAAATAGAGATAAGTCAACCTTTAAAAAAATCCTTCTCCATTTAATATTAATCCCTAGTTTGTAAAATATAACCTAAGAGTGACATTTGGGGGACAGATATTAAGGTACCCATAATCATTTAAGATACACTGCATGCCTTCAAAATTTTCTACACGCACTGGATGCCTTGTGAAAAAAATATAGAGAAAAAAGGAAAAAAAAAAAATAAAGAAATGACAGAATCTCAGGATCAGATTCCCCAAAAGGACGCTGTCCCTATTTCTCTAAGATCAAACTGCCCCAGATTGGCAGCCTGCCCTATTTCCCCGGGGTTGGAACTGCCGAGTGGCAGTCTGCCCCATCATCTGTCCTGATTAGTCTGGGTGTCCATACCAGTCACAAAGAAATCTGTCTTGGGACCAGGCAACATTGGCCTGTCCCATTGCTGTCATGACCAGGACAAGCATCCTGGTCCCTGGCACACAGCTACTCAGATCTTCATCAATGGATCAGAAAGGCAGGAAAAAGAGGTTACACACGATAGCTGGGATTTACTCAAAAAAATCACCCCAAGGGTCTTTCTGTCTGGGGACCTGTAATATGTAAAGAACTCAGAGAGTTTAAAACATCTGAAGATGCTACCTAGTAACTATAAATTGCTTACCATTTTAGATAGGGAGATAAGCTTGGGGCTAAAATGATAAGAATACCAAAACCAGATAAGGTGGAGGGAGGAAGCAAGCAAGCTGGCGAGAGAGAAGTGACCCCATGAGGCCCCAGAAGAGTACAGTTGGCAGGGCTGGACAGGCATCTCCAGAACCCTGGGAGGTAATGGGAGCCTCGTAAAGGGCAGCTGCAAAGGGCTGGAGTGGAGCCCTTCTGCAGTGGGCTGTGGGCAAAGCCCCGATGGCATGCATCTTCAGAGTGCAGGCTAGTGCAAGGGGAACACTACCCCCACCCCCACCCCCAACATAGTCTGGAGCCCCTAGCTGAGCAGGAAGGGAGGGAATTCATCTCACCAAATCATCAAGTTGCTATCTATCCCTTCCTTCAATACATCAACAATATTCGATACATCAGCAGAAAACTCAGAGAACACATGCTTTCCATTTCCTTTCCTGGATGGTGTGGCCAGAGAGGATGGGAAGGAGGGGGGACTGAAGGGAATTTAGGCCTTTGTCCACCTAGGAGCTTGGGCAAGATTTACTTTCCTTCTGCTCTTTGACCAGCATAAGAGTGGGAGACTCCACATTTTTCTTTTCTTTTTGCAATCCTCAGTGGGGATCAAACCTGGGGCCTTGATTGTGTTAGGCAAGCTCCCCACACAGAGCTACACCTGTAATCCACTCCATTTACTTTTGATTCTTTGGCATGCCTCCACATATTTTAGCTAACAAAACTAACTCTTTTCTAAAATTTTCATATATTTCATTGTTTTTTGTTTGTACCGGGGATCGAACTTGGGTCCTGCTTGTGAGGCAGGTGGCAGAATCACTGAACTAAATCCCCGGCCCTAAAATTTTCATATATTACACATCTTTGGTCCTGAAAATGTCTAAGATTGGAAAACCTTGCCTTTAATCTTAGCTCCCCCATATAACCTGCAAATATTTTATTCTCCAAAGCCTGCCTAATTAGCTCTTCTGATAAACCTTTTCCAATTCTCTGGCTACCCAGTTTTAGTACATGTGCTGCTGAAGTGAGCATATCTTTGGCCATCTATAATTTGTCTTTTCAGAGCACTTTGCCTGAATTTCTATTTTTATCATTACAATTGTGTGCTCCATTAAAATGTACCCTTTGATTGTAAGAACCAAACTGTAGTTATTTTTATTTCTCCCTTAGTACCCACTACAGTGTTTTCTCATAGGCTATGTTCTAAATATATGGATTCAGAGGGGGAAACTGGGATAGGTTTTCAGTCCAACCCAGGGAGGGAGTTGGTGGAAATTAAAAAATATTTTTTTTTGTATTTTGAGATGTCCTTTCACTGTGTTTCCCAGGCTGGTCTTGAATTTCTGGGCTCAGGTGATCCTTGCTTCTCAGCCTACCGAGAAGTTGGGACTATAGGCACATGCCACTGTGCCCAATTGTTGGTGAAATTAATTATGCCACATACCACTTTGCTCCAGATTTAGGATTTCTACAAATGCATGGAGCGTAAGGTTGTAGTGACATCTTGTCTCACCCTTCATTTAGAATAGTGATGCTTGATGTTCCTGTTCTCTATCCCTGCCTTCCTCTTTAATATTTTTGAGAGGCCTTCATGTTTAGATTTAGCATTCTAGTTGATTTCTTAACAGGTTGTCTTAAAATCAACCATTTTATTAAAATTTTTTAAATGACAGAATTCCCACAGCTCATTAATGATGGACATTCTAGAACATATCTTGTCTACCATCAGAGTTCAGCTGGGCATGGCCATGCATGTCTGGGGGGCTGAGGCAGACTCTGAATTTGAGCCCAACCTGGTCAGTTAGCAATTTAGTAAGACCCTGTCTCAAAATAAAAATTAAAAAAGGGCTGGGGGTACAGCTTAGTGTGACTTCCCTGGGTTCAATCTCCAGTACTTTCCCCCTTCCCCCCAAAAAATCAGAGTTCAGCAGAGTTTTTTTGGGAAAGAATTAGACTACAATTGTTTTGGAGCTGGTAGGCCATATGGTTTCTGTCCCAGTTACTCAGCTCTGTTATGGAGTGCAAGAGCAGCTGTAGCTACACAGAAATGGATGGATGTGTGGCTGTGTTCTAGTAGAACAGTTGTGGACATTGAATTTGAATTTATCTTCATTTGTCACAAATATTCTTTTAATTTTTTAAAAGTCATTTAAGTTTGTAGAAACCATTTTTAGTCCATGAGCTGTATAAACACAAGCTTCAGGTTGAATTTGGTCTCTAGACCATAATTTGAGTCCTGGTTTAAAGCATGTCTGTACCAAATTTCTAATGTTGAGTTGGGCTAATTCTGATTTGACTTTAAGTTGGGTAACAGTGAATAATTGCTTTGCTAAGATTATGTCCCAGAGAGTTTTTAAAAGTAGAACATTTGAGTCTGAAAGTAGAGAAACATGGTAGAATTTCAGGTTGGAATTTGGAACAAAATGTATTAGTGTTGGACAGTCTTGGGTCTTGTTTAAGAAGTTAGTGACTAGGGCCGGGATTTAGCTCAGTGGTTCTGCTGCCTGCCTCGCATGTGCAAGGACCAGAGTTTGATCCCCAGTATCAAAGAAGTTAGTGACTAGAGCTGGATGTGTTGGCTGTGGATGTGGAGTAGTCCCCCCTGCTCAGGAGGATGAAACTGGAGGATTGCTTGCCTCTAGGATTTTGGGGTCAGCCTGGGCAACATAGTGAGATCTCTTAAAAACACAAAAATCAGTGACTAAAGTACATAAAAGACCATGTTAGATAGCTTATGTACTTATACACGGTAGATTAAAATGAAGTTAATTTTGTACCATCACTGAAGTGAACTTTGAAGTTGCTGCCTGTATCTGATAGCCACTTTAAGGAGTAAGATTGCCAGGCATTGTAGTGCACACCTGTAATCCCAGCACTTGGGAGGCTGAGGCAGGAGGATTGCCTGGGGTTCGAGGCCAGCCTGAACTACATAATGAATTCAAGGCTAGCCTGAACTGCATAGCAAGACCCTGTCTCAAATAAAACAAAACAAAACATACCTGTAATCCCAGAACTCTGGGAGGCTGAAACAGGAGAACAAATTTGAGCCCAGCCTAGGAAACTTAGTGACTTAGTGAGATCCTGTCTCAAAAAAAAAAAAAAAAAAAAAAAGAGTTGGGTCTGTAGTTCAGTTTGAAAGCTTTAGGTTAAATCCCTGGTATTCAAAAAACAAAAAACAGAGTAAGATCTAATTTTCAGGGCCAGGGATTTAGCTCAGTGGCCCTCACCTACCTCGAAAGTGCAAGGTCCTGAGTTCAATCCCCAGTACCAAAAAAAAAAAAAATCTAATTTTCAGAGTTAAAGAATATTGGAGACTAAAGGATAGATAAGAATTATACTGACAAAAACTTCTTTGAGCTCAGATATTTTTGTCTCAGTTGTATAACATTAAATGTATTGAGTGTATATAATATATATCAATATTTGATTATAGTGTCTTCCATCCTAGAAGTCACTAAAAAATACACAATACAATGAAATGCATTGTCATTAAAATATGTAGCACATAGATATTTATTCACAAGTAAATATATGGAACAATGTTCATGGCAAGTTAAGTGAAAGAAAGGTAACAAAACTGCATTTTTCCATTTAAAAGGAAAAAATAGGTATAAGTAAAACAAGTTTAGAGGGATATATACAAAAGCATTAATTGGTGATGGATTTATGGACTGTAAACATATTACATGTCCTTTTTTCTTTTCAGTAGTGGGGATTGAACCTAGAGCCTTGGGTATACTAGCCAAGCATTGTACCACTGAGCTACACTCCTAGCCACTATGTGTATATATATTTGTTGTTTTATTATTTTAAGCTGAAATTTTAGTCCTATATTCTAACAAATTATTTTCCACTGAAGAATTTGCCACTGTTTCTCTGGAATTCATATCATTTCAGTTAGTAAATTATGTTTGGACAAAGTCAAATAATATTTGATTAGAGGTTTTTTTAATGTTGAAATTCCTTTAAACTTTTCTCATTTGCAATTGTTTTTCAGGGCAATGATGATGCTTACATGTGTATTCGGGAGGATCAGACTGTCCATATACAGCCTTCCCATTTGACAGGACGAAGTCACCCCATGATGGATTCCAGGGTGAGTATGAACATCCAGGGACCCTCCTGGCTGGCCCACCATCCTCTCTGCAGCTGTCATCTGCTGTGTGGCTGTCGGGTGCAGCCACATAAGAGCCTTGAACCCCTTCAGTAAGAACCCTTGTCTGGGCAGGGGCCTGGTAGCAGGATTCCTCTCATAATGATCTGAGTAACTTTTCTACACTTTAGAAAGCACGAGACAATTTGTTTTTTTGTATGAAAAGATGAAGTCTTGCTTATGACACTTAAATCCTTGTTGCATCTGATAAAAAAAAATTCTGGTTTGTTACCATGGTCAGAGCATTGGCCCCATTCCAAAAGCTTACTCATGTTTTTAAGAAGAAGCTTATGTTGGTGACAGAAGTACTCCTTGACTATGGAGAAGGAGGATCATATATGGTAAAGAGTGTTCCTTTGGGTGGTTGTCTTAAGTGCCCTTTGTTGGCAACTGTGCCAAATGTAGGCCATTTCTGAGAAATGTCTTTTTTCACAGGGCAATTGACAAACAAATGAGCTCTGAAGGAATAGTAGCTATTGCTTACTGACATAGCAAATGCAGTCTGCCTGAGGAGGCATCACTCAGTGACATAACTGTGCATAGCTTTCCCACAGGGTAACTCTCAGCTGGCTTGGAAACTCTCCCCAGTTGCATGTTGCATTTTGGCCCCTAAGGTATTACTGGGTAATTGTTTCTTTAGTGCTTTTCATTGTGTACTAGTGGCCAGATGGAGTTAGTACATCTGCTAAAGTTTCTAACCTGGGAACTGTAGGGCCCTATTCAAAGAAAAAATAATATTTTTGCCAAGTGGGAGAAAGATGAATAAATTGGGGGAAAATGATTCTTGTACTTTTTACGGAGGAAGTGAAAAACAATGATATTACGGACAAAACATGTACATCTGGTTGTAGAGAAAGGAAATTGAACAGGCCAGGATTTTGATCATGTCTTATTTTTAGCAAATTTTTAGAAGTGCTAAGACCCATTGTGTGTGTTTTTTAGGGTCCTCTTGAGGATATGGCTTGGAGGTTGGTGGATGGTATTATGCAGTGTTCTTTCAGAAGAAAGATTACCCTTCCTGGGGTTAAGAATAGATTTGATCTAAACACAAGCTACTACATATTCCTAGCAGATGGTGCAGCTTTTGATGGTAAGTATATTGATAAAACGTTTTCTTCCTCTCCCCTTTTCTCTCTCTTTTACAGAGAGTTTTATAATTGCTCTTTTTTTTTTTTGGATACTGGGGATCGAACTCGGGACCTTGCGCTTGCAAGGCAGGCGTTGGAACCACTGAGCTAAATCCCTGGCCCCATAATTGCTCATTTTTAAGGTACATATTTGTGGGTAAAGAGTTATAATCCTTTTCTATTTTGTCTGAACATTGACTTTTAGTTAACCTGCTAACTTGTTTCTCTGAGAATTACATAAAATATCAACTAGATGACAAGGCAACATTGTTTTGATCAGAATGAACTCTAGTTGGTAAAATGCATTTGGATGAGAAGAACTTTACCCTGAAAGAAGCCATATCTTTGGGTTTTTCTGAGTGTACTGACATGGGCATATCTTATGTAGGGATCCTAGAAATATTGCCTTTGTGGTTGTTGCAAGAAATACTGGGTCTTTGGGGGAAACCTGCCCAGTACGAGTTTCATCTTGTTAGACCTTAGCTGTCTCCAGGAGGGGAGGAGGGGGTAGCGAGTGATTCCTGGACAGCTGAGGATGCCTTATTCTGCCCTGCTGGGCAGTGGGTTTCCTGTCCCACATCTTTCTGAGTGAAACTGGTGTCTCATGAGCCTAATTTAGTTTCAGGAGTCTGAATGCTTGATTTATTCTTAAGACTACCCTGGTGGGAATTGCAACACATATAAATAGCAATAGGTTTTGTTTATGGTCTTGGCTGATGGTGCTTTGAGGAACTGCAAGAAATACCAGTGTAATATTCAGTCACTCATCTCTCTGGAGATAACTATTGTCCTCCAGCTTTGAGAATGTGGCCAGCTTTGCAGATGGGGAGAAGGTGGGCACATAGGATGGACTGTCATGGGGCGGGGGATGGGGATAACAGAGGCAGACCAAGAGGTGTGGTGTAGGCAGAATTTTGAGAAGCTTTGCATTTTTATCATGTGGTTTAGATTTTTTGTAGTTGGTAAAGTGGAATCTCAAAAAGTTTTGAAGCAGGATATAATGGTAGAGAAAATTTAGAAACATTTGTAGATTAGTTGTAGGTAACGTGTAGTTATCCTGGTTAAGTCACATAATCTTACTTGTACCAGCCACAGAAAATATGGCTTGAAAATAATTTCTTGGTTAAGTGATGATAATGTGTAAAAATTACTCATACCAGTCATTGACTGAGCATTTTATATAAAGTCATTTTTACTTTCATAAAAATACAAACTAGATATGTACTGTTCTTTTATTTATTTTATCTAGTAGTAAACCTAGCCTTAGGGAGATGAATTTATCCAACAAGTAAGTGATAGAGTTAGAACTTGAACTCAAACTCTTTGACTTCGGAGTGTATGTATTCAATATGTTAGGACATGGAAAAGAGAGAAAATTAATTTTTAACAAGGAAAAGGTCAAATGTTGGTGTTTTAGTTACTGCTAAACTGCCAGTACTTGTATTGTCATATCATCATCATCATCATCATCATCATCATCATCATTGCTGTCATTTATTGTGCATTGTATGCATCTCATTTATTTCTCATAGAGGCCTAGTAAACAGGTATTATGTAGGCCATTTTGGAGGTAAGGAAAATGAGACTTGAAAAGGCCAAGCAAATTGTTCCAAATGGAACCTGCAGCAGAAACAGGAATTAAGTCCATATCTCTTCCAATTACACAAGCTGTGGCTTTTCCATCACACCAGACTGCTTCCTTCAGTGCCCAGCGTGTTATAGGCTCTCCCTACATGATTAGCGATACAAATGGATTTCTTAAGTTGCTAGGAGATTTAACAGTTTGTGTGCATATTTTTTAAAGTTGTGCACTCAAAAAAATTATACTTCCAAAGAAAAGCAGTCTTGTTTAAGTGGAAGAATTCTATTGTATAATAAATTGCATGTGCTTGAGTGGTGAATGACAATGCCAAAAAAAATTCTTCATAGCTCAGCATTGTATATTTTCTGGCATCAATGTTTTAGGTGATAGTTCTAATACTTTTCTTTAAGAAAATCCTAGCAAAGGAATGATACTGTGGTATGTAAAGAATGGAAGATCAGCTGTCTTACTTCCTGCTGGAGTTGGTGTGCTGATAGCGTGGCAGGAAGGCTTTCTGTCTTGTTTTGGTGGATATTTCTCCTGCTTTAGAACCCCCTGGAGTGCTTGCTAAAATGCACATTCCTGGATCCATCGCAGACCCACTCAGACTCTTGGAGGTGCTTGGGATCTGCGCCTCAAGTGTCCCTGGTGATTGCTCATGTGCTGGAATTGGTAACTTCCTGCTCTAGGAGAGGGTTTTCCCTTTCTAGATGTACACATCAGAAGGCAGTCCAGGGGATAAAGAGAATAATACTAGAACTTTCTTTTTATATTTATCTCATTTAAATTTTTCTCTTATTTTACAGTATATATGATATATTAAAACAATAGTACATGAATATGTTTATTAACAAAAATATACGTATATTGGTGGCACATGCTTATTTTTTAAACTTGTAGGGTGGGAAGCACATAAACCCCTCAAGAAACAGAAATGGAGATTGTTGCCCCAGGGAATTCATTTTGCAATTTCTTTGAACTGGAAAACAAAATTGCAACATAAATCATTGGTTCTTCTATTACTGAGTTGTATGTATGTGGATCATTTATAAATTGAACTCTGCTTAAAAGCAGTGAGACTTTATAAGGTGTAAGCCATTTTTTCAAAGCAATCATATAATCTTTGTAATGCATATAAATTTAAAAGGTGCTTGGTTTCAGTAAAACCTTTTCAAGATCTAGCCATTTAGAGCCTTTTTAAAGAGTGCTGTCTAGGGCAGGGGATTTAGCTTAGTGGTTCCGCCGCCTACCTTGCAAGTGCAAGGACCAGAGTTCGATCCCTGGTACCAAAAAAAAAAAAAAAAAAAGTGCTGCCTTCCTCAGAAGGCTGACATCTTTTGATCTTGGGATGAATAGTTGTGAAATGCTGAATGTTCAACAGAAAGGTAGAATTCACTTGGGCAAATAACTAATTCCAATTAAATCTACCATTTAAATAATGAAGCACACCTTGTTATCACATGACCAGTTATTGAAGCAATATAAGAGTGCTGTAAGTCACATGCTACTGTGGACTCTTGCTCTTCAATCTCCCCGAGAATAGAAGCACAAAGTTATAATGACGCCACACTGTGGAACTCAAAACTGTACAGGGCTTCGTTTTCATTAAGGTTAAGTTCAGGCTTAGTCCATGGCTCTACAGTGATTATGCAGCAGGATTTTCGTGTAGAGGTGGACATCGAGGCCTTTTTCCCGGGAAGCAGCTTTATTCAGAAGGGCACAGACTCAGCGGATTTGTATTCAACATGGCATAGTTGCACCCTTTCATTCAATTTTTGTGTCTTTGTCTTCCTTATATGGACGTATACTAACATTATACAATCTGGTTGGGTATACATTAACATTCTACAGTCTGGTTGGGTATGATTTGTGTTACAGAGTTACATCAGAACTACACATGGGTACACAGAGGCTCATACATTACATCGTAAAAAATTCCCACCCCTACACATCTGAGTGGCCCTACCACAATTGAGAGTATAAAAACATGTCTTCAATAACTTGCCTCTTGTGATTGTTGTAATACAATCTCTTTTTTTTAATCACTACCACCCCACTAATGCAGGATTTTTAACTTCCTTAGCGTGTTCTCATTTTTGATAGCTTTCTTTATCATTTTCTTTCTGTCATTTTTGTAGCTCCTGACAGTTATTATCTCTTTGTTCTTGACACTCTCTCTTCTAGGCAATCATTACATAAAGCTCTTCTCATTTCTGCTTCATCTTTGAGCCTCTTTGTTATAACAAGCCTGATGTCCTGACATCATTTTTGAATAATCAGTTTTTTCCTCCACTGCTTCAAAAGCTTCTTTATTATACACTAAAAATCTGCCAAAAAAATCAAACTATTTCTAATTTGCCTGTTCTCCCATTGATCTGTTTGTCTGTTCCTGCTCTTGTTGGAATTACTATAGCTTTATAACAGGTTGTGAATTTTGACCGAATGTGGTTCCTTTCTTTCAACAGTTCTTACTTCTTTGTTGCAAATCTTCTCTGTAGATCAACTCTAAAAATGATTTGTCAAATTCTATGAAAAATCTGTTGGGGATTGAGATGAAAATTGCAGTGAAATTTTAGATAAATTTGGGAGAATAATAACTTTTGGCAATAGTGTGTCTTCTTATCCAGAAACATTAGGACATTCCATTCAGATCCTTGCATATGTGTCTTTCAGTGAAATTTTAGTTTTCTTCTTATCTGCAAATAGGATTTCTATGTTTTTTAAATTTCCTTATGTTTAGGTATAATTTTTAAAAAACAATCTAGTGTAAATGGAATTTTAAAAATAGATTTTATAAATTTGTTGTTGCACAGAAAAGCTTCAAATTTTTATTTATCTCGAATTGATCCACCTAGTTTTCCAGTCCATTATCTTATATTTTCTAGATAAATGCCATATCCTGTGCAGCTAGCCTGTTTTCTTTCTTTTCTACTACATTGACTACTTTTCCCAGAATGCTGTAGAGTGGCAGTGGTGGTATGTTTAGCATTTTGTGTTGCTCTTGATTTCGATGTGGATGTTTCTGATATTCAGTGCTACCTGTCATATGTGTTACATTTTTCTGGTGGATATATTTTATCCTCTATTGTGTTTAGGAAATGTGTTCTTCAATTCCTAACTTTGTTAAAAGTTCATATCTACTCATGCCTGTATTCCCAGCACTGTGGGAGGCTGAGGCAGGATTGTAAGTTTGAGCCCTGCATGGGCTCTTTAGTGACTTAATGAGGCCTTGTCTCAAAATTAAAAAGAAAAGCATGGGGGTTGGGGCTGGGGATGTAGCTCAGTATAAAAACGCACATGTCATGCCTGAATGCTGGCTTTCTCTAATGTCTTTTGAGCAGCCATTGAAGATATTTTATCATTACTTTTACAGATTTCCGAATAGTGACTCATCTTCATAGTCCTGAGATAAACCTTACTGGGTCATTTTTTTATTCTCTTAAGAGACAACTGGGCTGGGGATTTAGCTCAGTGTTCACTGCACCTGCCTTGAAAGTGCAAGGTCCTGAGTTCGATCACCGGTATTGGAAAAAAAAAAAAAGAAGAGACAACTTTTACTCATTAATAATTTTATTTAACCTTTTTACATCTGTATTCATAAGTGGTTTTGGTCCATGGTTGTTGGATTGTGTGTGTGCATGTGTATATACGTGTGCTCATGTGGATGTACCCATACCAGTTTGGTTTCAGTGTATTGCTAATTTCATAAGATGAACTCTAGAAGAGTTTAAATAAAATAAAAATTTTAAAGTTACACAAAGTTGTCATACATGTAGAGTCTAATTGTAGGATGGAAATATTTCGCTAACTACAACAAAAATGCTGTTGTCGTTTCTCTCTAGACCTACTACTTCTTTGGTCAGTTTTTCTACTTTTGTATTTTCCCAGAAATTCATCCATTTCATTTAGAGTTTGACATTTTTGGCTTACTTAAAGTTGTATATGTTGTAAGACTGAGATTCTTTTGGCTGATTTACAGTGTTTTATTTTAATTATAAGAATATCTTCTACATTAGCAGTTATGTCACCTTGTTAATTTCTAATGCTGTTTTTGATATTTATTTTTTTCTTGTGGTCAGTTTCCAAAAACTCAAATTGATTTTATTGGCCTTTCTGATTTGCTAGGTTCTATTTGTTGTTTTAAATGTACCTCAAATTAAATGATTGCTTCAGTACTTTATCTTCACCTTGGTTGTGTCCATGTGTTTTCATAGAAGTGTCTTCATAGAAGTGTCTTCATTCTTACACATCTCTGTCTTGTGAGTTTACTTCTGCATTCCTATTTAACCCAAAGTTTATTCAAAAGAGTACATAGATGATTTTCCCTCTAGTTTTCAGTTCTCTTTTACTTTAGCTGCCTTTTAGGAGAAATTATGTAACCTATATCCAGTGTAGTTATTTACTTTTGGAAATTATTAACATATAGTCTGTTGGGGCCGGGGATTTAGCTCAGTGGTTCCACCACCTGCCTTGCAAGTGCAAGGTCCCAAGTTCGATCCCGGTACCAAAAAAAAAGATATAGTCTGTTGTCTTGACATTTGTCATTTGAGACAAAGATTTATAGATTATCTCGTATATAAAATTTTAAAATTACTTTTACATTTGTATAGTATGCTAAAATGTGTTTCATAATTTATTTAATCATTCTCCTAATGATAGACATTTAGTTTATTTTTTTTATGACATAAAAGAAGTTGTTGTGAACATTCTTGTACATGTATCTTTGGTTAAAAAAATTGTTATTTCTGTAGTACAGATTCTTAGAATGAACACCCTTCCTGTGGAATTCTACAAATTCTCAGGTTTAATTTCATACACAACAAACAATAATACATCTTCAGTTTGTTTCTGTCATAATTATTTGGGATTTTGGTTTATTAAACTCAACCTGAATTGACCATATACCAAATACCATGCTCATCAAAATGCTTTCCTTTCTCTCCTCACCCTCTTCTCCCAGATCCCAATATCTTTTTTTTTTTTTTTGACACAAGATCTTGCTAAGTAGTTCAGGCTGGCCTTGAACTCATGGCAATCCTCCTGCCTCAGCCTCCTGAGTGCTGGGACTACAGACACCTGCTACCACATCCCAGACCCAATATTTGTTAATTTGTTCTAGGATTTTAGATACAGTTAATGGTTAATGGTTTGTATGTTTTTAAAAGATATGTATGCTTGGGCCAGGGGATTAGATCAGTGGCACTGCACCTACCTTGCAAGTCCTGAGTTCAATCCCTGGTACCAAAAAGAAAAAAAGTATGCATGCTCCTTCAGGATTATATCTGACTTGAGGCAAGAGGAGTGCCATGAGTTTGAGGCTAGCCTGGGCTACATAGTGAGTTCAAGGCCAGTCTGAACTACATAGTGAGACCTGGTCTAAAAAAAGTTATATCTGACATTTTCAATGATTTGTGATCATATCAGTAATTATTTTGACTTCTTGTTTAGCCCATTTCTTACCACCAGTTCTTTTACCCTAATTTCTCCATTCCTCATTCTTTTTTTTGTTTGTTTTTTGGGTACTGGGGATCCAAATCGGCTCCTTGCACTTGTGAGGCAGGAGGCAGAACCACTGAGCTAAATCCCTGGCCCTCCATTCCTCATTCTTATTTTGATTCCTCTTTGTTGGTTATTTCTTTAACTTTTGTCAAGAAAGCTGTATGCCTTTGCATATATCTTATGTTGCTTTTGCTTATGAATGACAGCTCTGTTAATAATTAATTTTTATTATCATAAGAATTTTTTCTTCCAATTTATGCCTGTCTCTCAAGTTTTTCTCTCCTGAGGAAGTAATTCTTTTCTATCATATTTAATTTTGTTTTTTCAATTTTCAGGTCGAATTTATAAGCACCCTCAGCAACCTTTGATTACACATGACAAACACGATGTGACAGACTCTCCAAAGGATGTAGGAGGATCTCGCTCTTCACTCCTTTTGAAGGTTCATGGTAAGTCACATGTGTAGTAAGATCACTTCTTGGTGGAATAAGCTCACTTGAAGACTCAGCGCTGGCTGGATTAGGAATGGTGCTGGCATAATTGACCACATTTTTATGTCTTTAATGTTTAAACACTACCATTTGCAGGTAGATCATCTACCTTAATTTTTTTCTAATTCTTATTAAAAATGGAAGTTTTTAATAAGGCCAATTCAGTGGTTTTTACCACTGGCTGAACATTAAAATTGCCAGTGGAGCTTTTAAGACATCAATAATTTTTAAAAAGTATCTAGTTACATATGAATTGCCGAAGTTAAATGAAGAAGATATAGAAATTCTAAATACCCCAATTACAATGAGTGAAATTGAAAATGTAATAAAAAATTTACCAACAAAGAAAAGCCC